GTCGCCGCTGGTCGCCGCTGGTCGGCTGCGGCTCTGTCTTAGTGTAAGTTGCATAGACCTCGCACCGTGAGAGGGTCCGGCAGTTCATGTTGCGTTTTGCTGATGTTTTGGACAAGGTCTATGACGAGGAGCAGCACAAGCCGCCAGAAAGCAGAGGCGTCTGTCATATACTGTTACTCGGTCAGGGTGGTTCTGGGAAGACGCACGTTGTGCAGAATTTGATCTTCCCCATTGCGCATTTCATTTGGCCAGCAGAAGGCGAACAAGACACTATGATGGCTGTAGCCGCCAAAAATGCACAAGCCAAGAACATTTCGACTGATCAGGTCGCTGCCAAAACGCTGCATGCTGCCAGCTGCACGCGCGCGCAAAGTCTTTCAAACGGCAACATGACTGCAGGAACTGCCGAGAAACGATTGAAGACTTTGCGGAACAGCATCCGAGTCTTGATCATTGAAGAGATCAGCATGGTTTCGGCTATGATGTACAACATGCTGGGCTTTCGAGCTACGTTGGGTCGTCGTGTGGCTTGGCATGTCGATCCCCACACATACTCGAAGGTGGGCTGTGCTTTTGGTCGCGTTCCTACCGTGTTGCATCTCGGTGACTTCTTTCAGCTTCGGCCTACCGCACAGTTGTCTTTGCTGGGTGACTTGGATGCAAAGAATGCAGATGGCGACCTCAAGTACGAGGCAGTGGCGCCTGAAGTGCAGCACGCGCAAGAAGTCTTTGCAAAAATCCCCGATGTTTTCGAGCTGCGAGGGACCATGAGGTTCAAGTCTGGCGATCCTTTGATCGACCTACTGCAGTGCATGCGACAGGGGAAGAAGTTGCCAACGCCTCTTTGGCGGAAATTCCACGGCCGTTTTGCAAAAGACGCCGAGCCTGGTGTCCCAGACCCTCGCTTTTTCGAAGACAAGTTTCGCTACGGATATTGCATGTCCATCTATTGGAGTTCTTTGGCGCGCATGTTGTCTCATCGCGCTGTTCTCGATGCTAAAGAGTTACAGGTTCCGTTGGTCTTTCTGCAAGCTGCCGATGAATGTTGTGACCTCAAACAAGACGCAGCTTTTCGCTTTCTGAACATGACTAATCCCGACAAGACAGGACACATGCACGGCGTGTTTCCTTGTCATATCGGCATGGACATACGCTTTCTAGCAAAGCTCGATGGTGATGCAGGTATGGTCCAAGATACCCAGGCTAAGATCATCGATTTTGAGCTTCACAGTCTTGACAGAGAAGCATACTGCCAAACCGTCCCTGGTGAAATGTTTTATCCTCGCTTTCTACCTTCCGGTTTGTGGGTCTCTGTAAAAGGGTATTCAGGCTGTCCGGATTGGGATGACCTTCAAGAGATGTGTCGTAAGCATGTTCAGACGGATGAAGAGGCTTGCAAGCTGGCGAAAAGTTTTGGTTTTTGCCCGCAGTTGAAGTGAAAGTCCTCTTTTGCAGCACGCAGAAGCGCGAAGTTCGCCGTTGTGGTTTTCAAGTGACACATGCCCAGTGTTTGACTAGCACTGCTTCGCAAGGCTTGACCCTACGCACAGGCACGATCGTTGATTGCGCGCGCTTGCCCGAGTTAGATGACGACAATTGGTGGCTCCATTTGTATGTCATGTTCTCGAGAGTCACATCTCTCGATGATCTACTTCTTTTGCGCCCACCTCCTCGCGAGATTTTGGAGCGGGGCCCTCCTGAGTCCATTGTCACTCGTGTAGCAGAATTCCAAAAGAGAGCAGAACGATGCCGAGATGGCGCTCTACGTCTACGTGAGCAATGGGATGTTTGTGTTGGACGCAGATGAGCATCTTCTTGCAGATATGATCCAATTTGCCAAGCACTGCAGGGCAAATGCCACTTCGCACCAAAGATCTGTGACGCAGATGCGCATAGCATCTTCTTGCAGATACGATCCCATTTGGAAAGCACTGCAG